ATATGTAAGATCCCTATGCCTCACTTTTTCATTGAAAAGTGGAAAGAATAGTACCTAAGGTTGGGGTTTCTCAAGAAACGACACCAAGACAGAGATTTATATGCAGTGAGTTTATTGGGAAGTTTCAGTGGCTTTAAAGGGGCCAGTGTTACATCTTACTCACTCAATACCTGCCATGCTTAAAGAGCCTGATATATTAAGTACTCAATATTTGTTGAGTTAAACAAAGTGACATGTATCTATTTACTGTCACATATAATTCTTCACATGGAAAGATGAAACGAGAATATGACATCAGATCTGGGACCACGTTAGCACCTGGCAACAATTGTCCTTGAGCTGCCCAAAACAACCAGAGTTTTCTAAAAAGTACCTGTGTCCACTGAACACCACCACCAATGCAGGCAGCTTCTGGCACTGAGAGCAACCATCAAGGTCTCTCAATTACTTCTCAAAAGATCACTTTTACCCAGGGCTCAGGGAGTATAAAAATCTTAAGAGCTGAGAAGGAAATCAGCCTCTCAAACCATAGACCTAGAAGCTAGAAAACCATATAAGAGCTTATCTTAAATGAAACACAAATACAAACTTTGCTGCTTCCATCTGGGAATAACAAGGAGAAATGGGTGTGTCTGCAGCCTTGGATCCTGGTCTTTGCCGATGCTTCTGTTCCTCCTCAGGAATATCCCTATCCCCACCCAGCACTTGTCACCCAACACATCTGCTGGTTCATAAGCACCTAGCATGTCCTAGAGGGGCAGGAGTCTGTAAGTATACAGCATAGTTGGATGGGAAAAATTCTAGGACAGTTTTCCATTGCTTTCTACCTTCAGTTTAGATTTATGATGTTAAGCTGTTCCAACAGAGACACATGTTTTCACTCCCTTTAGATCACAGTTGCTTCCTCAGGATTCTAAAACCTTTAGCTTGAAGTTGTCCACAGAGCTAAAACACCATAAAAGGTAAAAATTGTGTATATCCTTAAAATTTCCTTGTGAAGTCTCATATCAAAGACTGACATCCATCCATCAGTGTGTCCAATGTGGCCAACAATTCCTCAGTTGTTGAGAAGTAGAGGGAATTTCTCTGAGCACTGGATGAGATTGCTTTGAGTTTGGGTGCCCACTCATATGAAAACAGTGGTCTCATTAAGTTCCAGAATCCCATCTCACTCAGAGCTGACTCAGAGCATAGGCCTTTCTCATTCCTTGCTTGCAATGGCAGAAGAAATTGCCTTAACTTAAATTGTGTTCTATTTCTCAAACCCATATAGTTTTGCCCTGACTAGTGATCCAACCCGCAAGCTAGGTATATGCCCTGACCAGGGATCAAACCTGCAACCTTTTGGTGCACAAAATGACACTCCAATGAACTGAGCCACGTGGCCAGGGCATAGTTACACTTTTTTTTTAAGTTACATGCACCAGTGACTCCTCTCCACTGTTCTAAACCACCCAGCTATCTGCCTTCAATTATGGCTGAGCTATCTCTTACAGCCCATTGTTTGGAGTCTGGGGAAATATAAGCTCCATTCTTATTTGACCACCACTGTATCTGGTCACCATTGCTCTTTTAGCTGCCAAAGAACTAGCCAACCAACTCAGCTACTATCCTTGACTTTTTCCACTAAGGCTAGGCTTTTACCCTTAGGCTTTTCTAATAGTATAAAGGCTTTTAATTTCAGAATGACCAGTCTCCAGATAAGACACTTAAGACTTCCTGTACTCCATTTGTTTCCTTGTATTTATCTAAGCACATTTCATCACTCTACAACTCCCCCTAATGTAAGAAGCTCATATTTATCTCTACCCTATATCAAGTTCTTCATTCAAGAATATTTCAACTCCAACCCACGAAGTTTTCATTTTCAAAAGTGCCTTCCACCAAGATGGAGGAGTAGGTGGAAACACTTTGCTTCCTTGCACAACCAAATCTAAAAACAACAAAGTTTTAACAACGATAAACCAATCAAACCACAGAAAATCAAACAATACGGAGTCCAAAAACAACAAACAGCTCAGCTAAACTGGTGAGAAGGGCAAAGCCAGCAGCGGAGTGGTTGGGCAAAAACAATCCCGTGACCCCGGCGGTGCGCAAACAGCCTAGGGCGTGGATCCCAGGTGCCAGGTAGCTACGGGATGGCTCGGGGCGCAGCTGGCTGTCTGAGGTGGTGCATTTGCACGCAGATAAAACAGTGAAGAGACGTGTATTGAGACATACCGCTCAGGCCCCGGTGCAGGGTGGCACACTAGCACATTTATGCTCAGATAAAAGGGCAGGAGCAAGTGGTGAGGCTACCGGCAGAGAGGATTGCCATTGCTCCCTCTCTGACCCTGCCCCCACATACAGTGTCACAAACCAGCAACCTGGGTGGCCCCGCCCTAGTGAATACCGAAGGTGCTCTCCTCATATGTAACAGGCACAAACAGATCAAAACATGGCTCAAGAACAACTCAGAGCCCCAGAGCCAATAAATCTAAGCAATGAAGAAATAGCCAAACTTTCAGATGCACAGTTCAAAACACTGGTGATCAGGGTGCTCACAGAACTGGTTGATTTTAGTCATAAATTAGAGGAACATGTGACGGCTAAACTAATTGAAATGAAGGGAAATGCACAGGAAACCAATAGTGATGGAAAGGAAACTGGGACTCAAATCAAGGGAGCAGACCAGAAGGAAGGAAAAAATGACCAAACAGAAAAATATGAAGAAACAAGAATTCAAAAAAATGAGGAGAAGCTCCAGGACATCTTTAAATGCTACAACATCCAAATTATAGGGGTACCAGAAGGGGAAGAGGAACAGCCACCAGTGGAAAACTTATTTGAACAAATAATAAAAGAGAACTACCCCATTCTGGCAAAGGAAATAGATCTCCAGAAAGTCCAGGAAGCTCAGAGTCCCAAAGAAGTTGGACCCAAGAAGGAACACACCAAGACACATCATCATTATATTAGCCAAGATTCAAATGAAGGAGAGAATCCTAGAAGCAGCAAGAGATAAGGGGACAGTCACCTACAAAGGAGTTCCCATCAGACTGTCAGCTGATTTCTCAAAAGAGACCTTATAGGCAAGAAGGGGCTGGAAAGAAGTATTCCAAGTCATGAAAACCAAAGACCTACTTCGAAGATTGCTCTATCCAGCAAAGCTTTCACTTAAAATGGAAGGACAGTTAAAGTGCTTCTCAGATAAGATCAAATTCAAGGAGTTCATCATCACCAAGACCTTATTATATGAAATGTTAAAGGGACTTACCTAAGAAAAAGTAGATAAAAAATATGAACTGTGAAAGGACAGCAAACTCACAGTTATTAACAACCACCCCTAAAACAAAAGCAAATTAAGAGGACAGCTAGATTGGGAGTGGAACCATATAAATGAAGATCACATGGAGGGTTAGCAACAGGGGAGTGGGAGAAGGAGAAGGGGGGAGAAGGTACAGAAAATAAGTAGCATAGACAGTAGATAGAAAATAGATAGGGAGGAGGGTAAGAATAGTAGGGGAAATGTAGAATCTAAAGAATTTGAGACACGTGTTCATGAACTAAAGGGGGGGAATGGTGGGGGAGGAGTGTACAGGGTGGAGGGGAATGAAGGGGAGAAGTAGAACAAATGTAATGGCATAATCAATAAAATAAAAAATATAAAAAAATTAAATAAAAGTGCCTTTAAAATATATTTTATTTTTATGCTATTACATTTATCCCATTTCCCCCCCTTTCCCCCTCTGCCCTGCACCCCCTCTCCCACCAACTGTCCCCCACCTTAGTTTATGTCCATGGGTCAAACATATAAGTTCTTTGGCTTCTGCATTTCCTATACTATTCTTAACTTCCCCTTGTCTATTTGTACAAGTGCCTTTTTAAAAACAAAAGCAGCTAAATGAACATATACGAAAAACACACTGAAAGTTAATAATGGCACAACTACCCTATGCATTAAATCTCATCCTCATTTTATAGAGCAGGGAAACTGTGGCTCACAGAACTCGGAAATTGCCTGGATTCACAGAGCCATGAGTGTCCAAACTGGCATTCAAACTCAATTCTGTTTGGCTCTCAAACTTTGTCTCTTTTTGCCACACCTTACTACTTCAAAGACTTTAGGGTAAGTTTCCCAGCATATTTAAGCTTCAGTTTCCTTATTACTTCATTAAAGGGAAATTGGGTTCAGTTATTTTGAGGTGTCTCCCATGTTAGTTCTAGAAAAAGAGGGAAGACAAAGGGGCTGGGGGAAGGTAGCAGAAAGGTAGGAGAGGTTTTGTGGATTTCCTATTTCACTGTGGTTCTACTAATGCACATTTACTGTACTTATTTACTGTGCCAATCAGATCTCCCTTCAGATGTTTATCCTGATCATGTCCTATAGATAAATATGAATTTTCTTGGTATTTAAGAGCTGTGTAAGCAACTGCAGTATGAACAAGCCTATTTTAAAGGAGGTATACTTCAAAAGAATTTATGTCGTCTTCAGTTCTGATTTTTCAAACATAAAATGGCACTAATTCATTATTCTTCACAGAGTTTCAAAACACTATAGATTTTGAAGTATTATACATATGAAATAAAAGCATACCCCTCCCAAATAAAACCAAATAAGAAACAGAAAACAACCTTTAGAAAGACTCCAACTCTTAGGCTGCTTCCTAACAGTCATGGGAAGATCAGATGGCCTCATGTAATATGATCATAAATGGAGACTTTTCTGAGTAAAGACTCAGAGCTCAGATCCAAGTCAGAATAATGAATAGACTTTTCAAAAGGCAACTGCCCAAACCAAACAATAATTTTTCACTTTTTTCAAGTGTGGGAAGAAATACGAGCCTCTCATCAGTCTTTTCACCAATCACACACACACACACCCCCCAAATCGTTGTCACCACCATCATTGGTATAAATTCTAAAAATTGAAAAGGCTGTAAATAAAATTCATTCTGGAAAAATAACAACCAATAGATTCACTTTGAATGTAAAGAAGCAACAAAATTTATTGCCTGAATTAAACACAATGGGTAAAATGGCACTGTCATATTTTCATTTTAGGATGTTTGAATGAGACAAGAAAAACGCTGTTAGTCCAAGCTTCTTACATTCCTTAAAAGAGTGACTATCAAACCCAGAAACATGCACAATGATACATATGCACAAAATGGAATTATATTAACAAATATACAAAATACTGAAAATAAAATATTTACAGGTTTAAAAATATAAACATTGGTTCATCTATCCCATTAAATCATTGGACTGGAGAAGGAGAAAAGACCCTATTGCTATTTAGAATCTTTTTTAAAACAAGTTTTAAAAACATAGCATAGTTTTAGGAGACAATTTTTGATGTTTTGGGGGAATTTAACATTCTATTATAAAAATAATATCTATAATCCTACTAATAATTTTTCCTCCTGTGCACAAAAATAATATAGCCAAAAGCTTGTTCTCAAAGACATGCCTGACTTTTGGGAAAACTAATTATAAAAATGGAGTTTCTCATTTGTGTTTTCTTTGTCAATATTTTCAAATAACCTGCAATTCCCCATATTACACTGAGATATTTCATATAAACAACTTGGACAAAACCTGAAGTTAGCAATGAGCCTGATAGACACCTGGGATCAAGTAAAAATGACAGGAATTTACTTTGCCCATGACATTAAAACCATTTCCCCTGATATTCTTTATAAAAATACTACTATAAATCAAATCACCCATGTTTAGTTAGATTAACCCTGGGAGCAATACAAATGTTATATATTTGTTAAAGTTTCTCCTCTTGTATTTAGAAATAACTGTGTAATGGGGAATAAATGGTTATAATGTAGGTATTTTAGTAGACTCATTAATTCCTTTAGGCTACCTAGGCCCATTTCATGACATGTTAAGAAGTATTTACTGTGTATCTATTGTGCCCCTTTGCAATTTGACCAGATATTTTTACAATTCCTTAGTTTATTAAATGACCCAGGTATGTATCTGAGAAAGTTTAATATGTACCCAACAACCAGTAATCTAAGTTCTATCTTGTTACTGTTATCTTCTCCCATAAAGCAGAAAGTCTACCCAATTACTGAAAATTTTTAACTCAATAGAATGACCACCTGTTATTGAAATCTTCTACTACATCTAATTAAAATGAGGTCTGATATTTTTAATCAAGTGTAGCTAGCCCATATATTAGGAAAATAGCCTCATTAACTGTCATTACAATGCAATTTTAAACAAATTTTTCCTAAGTACCAAGAGTGGCATCTTAATAGAATCACAGTGGAAGGAAACTCAGGTTGCTACCTACTGGATTCACTACTGAAATTGCTTTTGGTTCTATTATTGACAAAGTAGCCATTAGGTTATAAAATCTGTATGTAATAATAGATCTGCTAGTATGTAACTCTAATTGGTGAATATGATCCATGGTGTGGACTGGCCCAGGTGAGGATAAACCTGAGACTCTGAAATTTCCCTTTTAGACTTACACGTATAAAGCCATGAAGTAATTTTTTTAACAAGTTCACTTTTAGCTAAACTAGTCATCATTTTAATGGTATCAACATGGTAAATATCTGGCTTGGCTCTTGCAGTTCAGAACTCTGCTCAGTTTCTTACTTAAAATAAATTATACAAAAATTTAATCATATGGCTAAAAAAGACATAATTAAAGCATGAGCTATAGAGTTAGATTTCTGGTTCACGTTCTGTCCACTATTTATTAAATGGGTGACTTGAACAAGATATTTCACCTTTGTGAGCATGATTTTCTTTACCTTGCCTTTTTCTTGTGAACAGTGGCAATCACAACGGGAAGAAAAGTACAGAGCACCATCCCAGCACAGGGTGAACACACAGTATGTGCTAAGTAATTTTAATTTAATATAAAATGCTCAAATTCACAGTGACAGACAATAAATATTCAATAGATATTAGATGAATGAATCAATTAATGAAAAAATATAGGCTAGGATTCAATGGCTATAGACAAAAGGTAGGAGGTACTACTTTAGAAAGAGCCAGGAGCTTATCTCTGAAGTTCAGAATTGTGTCAAGGAGTTCCTTAACTAGTTATTATCTAAACACACAACAGAGAAAACTCAGAACAAGTGAAACATGCTTGAAATGACTGATATCCTATCAGGGAAGAAGTGTCACCATGACAACAGAAGAGATCTCTGTCCATACTTTTGATGATACTCCCCAGAAGGAGAGGATGTGTCAAAGGAAGGCAGATTGTCTGCCTATTAATTCTACAATGGGGCAGGTTTCCCTGTCAGTGGTGTGACCACCATCACCTTAGACACAAAAACAATTTCCAGCTTCATGACATGGGCCAGTTTTTTTCCTAAGGAAAATGAGCTGGTTATCACTTGAAGCAGTTATTAGCTCTTGTATTATCATAAGTTACTCACAGGAAGAATTTATATCCCTGTTCCAAAAACTAGAAGAAATTGGGGGAGGGGTGATAGAATGGAATAGAAACAAACAAAAAGGATGAATTAAAGATTTCATAGTAGGCTCTGGCTGGTGTAGCTCAGTGGATTGAGCACGGGCCTGTGAAGCAAAGGGTGGCTGGTTCGATTCCCAGTCAGGGCACATGCCTGGCTTGCAGGCCAGTTCCCAGTCAGGGATGCATGAGAGGCAACCATACATTGATATTTCTCTCCCTTTCTCCTTCCCTTCTCTTCTAACGATAAACAAGTAAAATTTAAAAAAAGAATGGCTTGTAAAGCCCCTAGCAGTTACTGCACTCAGTGAGTACTCCACAACTCTTAATCATTGTTACAGCTACTCTTCTTATTTTTAAAGGAATTTGTTCAAGCTCATCCATTCTGTTCTGCCCCACAAACTATAAGCAACAAAATTTTTTAAAAAGCTAGGTAAAATAAAATAAAGGTGTTTTAATGAATATTAAGTCCAATTATAGTATAGCTAAGTGTGAGCTCCAAATTGAATGGATTTTTATTAAGTATTAGCTACAGTATTTTATAGTATATGCCCTGTGAATATGTGTTACATTGAATTAAACATCCAACATAAAATGTGCCCAATTTGGGTTCTGGAGGCCTTGTGATTATTTTAGTCTTTTCAGCTTGAGAAGGAACTCTCCCTAATCATAAAACTATCATTCTAAGTCACTCCTTAAAAACATGATCTGAAAAGAGGTAATATTCCATACAAGTGGTTATTGTTGCAACAAACTGTCTCCTTTAGACCATCATCACAGTGAAAATGCTTTGAGAAGCACCCCTGGCAGCCATCAGAAAATCTTCAGAGTGGGAAGGGGCCGCAGAACCAGTGACTGCCCTGAGGAGGGACCACACTTGCACATCACCTGACAATGTTACAGTAGCTTTTTCTTAAATGAAGGAAATGCTTGCTTCTTGCATTGCCCACACAGGCTATAATTAGATACCAGTCTGCCATACTAGCCCTTTGATTTCTAACTGTTTTATAAATTTTTTTATGTAGTGAGTTGAACATTTCTAAGAACTGTCCTGGAGAAGGGAAGGGAAAGAGGCCAAGAGGCATTTTCGTGTCTCCTCTCATTCCATCCAGGAACTTTTAATTGGCTAGCCTCAGTGGTGATAGGAGGTGACTGTGATCCTTTTCCCCCCTTATTTTTAAGAGTATAAAATTTCCAAATTAATTTTCTAACAATGATAAGGGGAGCGAAGTATATGTGAATGTACTAGAACATGTCTCAGTAGCAGCCAGGCACAGAGGGTCAAGTCCAGATAATCATCATTTAGGAGAAAAATCTAGAATGACTAAGCACAGGAAATGAGTTCCGCTATGCAAATGTCAAAAGAACTAACTCATGAGAAGGGTCCCATTACTGCTATCAGAGGGCATGAGACAAAAACGATGGAAACAGGGAGAGGACAGAGAGCTCCATCACTCAACTCCTCTTGGCAAAGTTAGAGGTAAAAATTCTCTGAAAATTAATCTAAGCTACCAATAATGAAAAATCTTAGAAAATTCAGAGAACTTTTCATATCCAATATAGCCTTTTACCTTGATAACTGTGTAGGGAAAGGGTTTACTTGAATTTTTTTAAATGCAAATACTTGAAAAATTATTTTTAATATTTCCAAAATTGATGACTAAACCCTTTAAACTCAGCAAGTCATCACCTTCATAGATGTTAAACACTTTGCATTTAAGTAGGCAGTAATTTGTGGAAAATGTATCTGAAAGAAATCCTTAAAGTCCTACATTGTGTTGTTGTTATTAGGTGAAATAATAAAGATCTATTTCCTCTTGTGATTATTCAAAATGCTGTAGTAAAATTTTCCCCTATTGGTGCTGATGAGAGAATAAAAGCATTAATCACCATTAGCATCAAGCAGAGTGGTTCAAGTAACACTGTCTGTATAATGTAGATATTAACATCAGGCTGTCTTTGTGCAGAGCTATTAAATTGATAAATTTAGGGCCAACAACTGATTTGATTTTTCTTTTCTAATTTGGTCAGCTCTTTGACTGAAGGGACTTAACTAACCAAGTATCTCAGACTCATACACAGGAAATCTGTCATCAGCCCATATCCAACCCTTTTCTTTAAAAAGATTGGGAAACATGGCCAAATTAGACAACACATTAATAATAATTGGAATGGAAATTTATTAAAATTAAAAAAATACTTTCAGTGAACATGAATGAGAGAAAGTAGCCCTTGGCACAGAAAACCAGCTATGATCCCTTGTCTATGGTTGGAAAAGGTTAAGACCCCCTCTTCCTGCATTGGTCCTGATTTCCCATCAAGTGATGGAAGGCATTTAATTCACTGCCTGAATCCTTTATTTGACTGGTGTAGGTAGAATTCTTAAAGATATATAATAAAAAACATGAAAAATGTATAAAAAGAAGAGGAAGAAACTATTTTAAATCTTGTATAAATAGTTAACAAACAAGCAAGGGGAAATTAAAGTAAACTTTGCTGCCATCTTCCTTTACTTATATAAAGGAGACATGGAATAGCTGTGTAAATGCAGAAATAAGTCTCAAATCTGTGAAAGCAAAAATAGTTTGTTTCTGTGCTTACAAAACAAATAGAATGCCTTTACTATTACAATATTCTCATCAGTACTTCAGGCACTCTTAACTTTCCTGTACAACTGAGCAAATGAACAATCATAACTTTGTCATGAATCCATACTGAGGAAAATATAATCCTTGCAAGGGAATGCACAAGAAAATAATGGTGTTTCACTTTACAGCTAGGAACACACTTTATGTTTTCATTCACTAGGGGAAAATGAACTTATTTTTGAGTCTAAATAGTACTATTCATATTAAATCAAATTTAAACAAATATCTGACCCTTTCTCAAGACAGAAATAATTTCAAAGACTACCAACTTTACAGCAGATGCCTTTGTCTGCTAGGTGTGCACAGCTAAGTGCATGTGCTGGTGTGAGTGTAAATTGTTCTATGAATTCCTAGTGGTATACTCAGAGTTCTAAAGGCTATTTCTGAGTATCTCAATTATGGACACAAGAAATTTAAACATTAAAACATTACTCTGAAATAACATTAAGGTCCTGACAATGCAATAAGCTGGTAATGTAACTAATAAAGAAATTTGGCAAAACTCCATCACCTTTTCTAATTCAATTGTTGCAGATTTAAAATGACAAACAACCTGCTTTGTGTTGTGGGCTCAGATTTGTTTTCCTTTGATATCTGTTTATTTTGTTACTTCCTTCATATTATTCAAGTGGTTTCTCATATGCTTAACTTGCCTTATTCTTTCCTTTATAAAATATAAAACAAACTTAAAAAACATGTAATATCAGTTGATTACTTAGGCAATCTCTCTGGAAAATTAGTTATGTAGAAGTGTTAATGTCATTCCTGATGCCATGAATCACCTCCTAGTGGAAACTGGTCTTTTGATGAAATGCACCGGAGTGCATTTCAGACAATATTATAGAATTAGATCCTAATAGCATTCTAGGAACTGCTTTAGTTTATCATCCAAACTACCTAGGTGTATAGGAACACTTTCTGAAATAAATATTTCCTCTCAAATAATAGAGAATGTACACAAAGTAAGCCACTATTCAAAAAATCTTGGCATAGTTTATGATATATATCCTTGCCAGTGTTTTATTCTGAACATACCTATCTCAATCATAAGTCATAAAGCAGACATCAAATGATATTAAAAACTATATTTTTCTATTGTTATATGTTATGTTTTCCTCATTTTGAAGTCCCCATGTTGAGGGATGGTTGAATCCAAAGTTTTTTACAACAAAGGTAAAATCTCTGAAAAACCAAGGTTTGGGGTAAGAAACACATTAGATTCTTATCCAGGACAAGGCAAAACCATGGCTCTGAAATACCAACACAATAATTGTTGTGGGTTTGTTTGTGTGTTTGTCTTGTCTGTTTGTTTTTCTGCATTGAGAGCCAGAGAACCCATATAAGACAAAAATAATATAAGAATTGCTCCAGGTGACAGCACACAAAAGAATAGCAATGGTTTGGGGATAGTTATCATATCTAGCTATAAAACCAGATTTTAAACTTGAGGTTATGGACAGATTATAAAACATTAACAGCAGGATAAACTGTAAAATATGCACTATCTTTACATGAAAAGGTGATAATTTATGAACATTAAAATACTTGGTCTGATGGCATTTAATGAAATCTTTCCCCAATCTTGATTTCTGCATAGGGTGGAAAATTTTAAAAATAAAAAATTTAAAAAGGAAAAACCTGCTCTGCTGAGCTTTTTTTTCTCCACAAACACAAATTACCTAAACCAACCAAACCAAAATTTTCCTTTCTTGTTCCAGTGGTAGATATTTACCTATTTGCATACCTAGCAACTGAAAACAGAAAAAAATTCTGCCAATCATTGATGCCCTTTGCCCATCAAGTAAATACCTGGGTTTTTCAGCTTCCTAGGTGTTTTCCTCACACTGCTACAGCAAAGGGTCTTTTTTTACCTGGAAAGGAAAAGAAGGAAGAAGGAAGGGAGGGAGGGAGGGAGGGAGAGAGGGAGGGAGGGAGGGTCATGGAAGAGGAGGACTCCTCTGGTTCTTGCAGTGGCTGGTCCAGGCCTTCTGGACCCATCACACCATGGCCAAACATGGTGTGATGCTTACTTAGGTTTGGTTAAGCCCTATTTTCTGCAAAGGCAAGTAAAGGTGACTTCCAAATATTCAGTACATTAAAGAAAAAACAGAAAAATAGTTTTTAAAAGGTTTAAAAAAGAAAAAAGTGCTTGAAAATAATTCCCAGGGACTTATCTTGGGAAGAGAAGCCCGTGTGCAGTGTGGCATCCCCTCTCTAGCGTCTCCTGCCCACCCCCACCCCTCCCCCAGAGGGAGAAAAAGACCTCCTCCGTTCAGGGTCTGCAGTAGAGACAGTCCTAAAAGCCTTTCCTTAGAAAAAGCAAAACTTATTTTAATGGTTCCAAGGAAGATTATATTCCTTGACATGTGGTCCATCCACATCGGTCTTGGGAACCTCACAACTTTTTGGCACTATGGTGGCATGCAGCTGCCCTGATGGTGGTCCCAGCCAAGCCTCGGTTGCTGACCCTGCGGACCAGCACTTTGGACACTGGGATTTTTGTTCTGGGCACTTCACTCCTGGCTGGTTGCTGATGCACCACCGGAAGGCTGGATGGAAGATTTGCGAGGTGCTTGACGCTGATGGGGATTTTAGAGTCCTTCGGCAAACTGCCTGGTGTTCGCAGTGGGCAGGTGATGGTGACCGGAGACACGGGTTTTAACCGGGACACGTAAGACGTCTCCTCGTTGGCAGGGGGTACTGCTGGGCTTCTGCCGGGATCTGCGTAGAGATCATAGAGCACATCACCGCTGTAGCTGTCCCTGGGGATGCAGGCCTTTTTCCCACTGCTCGTGCTGTCATCCTCTGGGCCCGGAGTGGTGGAATCCCAGTAGCCCTCATCACTGTTCGGGACACCTTCATGCTGTTCCTTCTGCAGGTGCTTAGGCTCTTCCTTGAGATGGGACTCGATGGGAATCCGGTTGAGCCTCCTGCATTTGACCAAAGACACATCCTTGGCCACTTCTGCACACCTGGTGTCCTTGGAGGTCTCGGGTACTACCTTGGCGTCCAGTGTGGCCGCTGCCTTAACTGGTCCCTCTTGGGGCCCTTGTCCTTTGTCCTCAGTCTGGGAGAGCATGTCCCAGAATTCCTGGAGATAGGTGTCGTCCATATCATCGGGACTGGCCATCTCCTCCCCTCCTCCTTGGTAGGCCACCACGCTGTCGTTCTTTTTAGAGGCAGCTGGCTTGCCTGGCCCCGGGGCATGCTTGTCACAGCTGGGACCTGCCTCTTCCTCTTGGTCTGCAATAATATCTCCACAGCCTGTAAGAGAGTCAAAGCTTTTCAGTGAAGTCACGTCAGAAAACATCAAACAAATACGATCAGCCGATGGGTCTGAGGGTGGATCAACAGAGGATGGGTCAGGGACGGCAGACGCCAGGACGCTGCCACAGTCGGAGTCGTCAGGGGGGATAGTCTTTATCAGAACGTCACCTGTCCTGGAAGCATCCTCGGCAGTCTGGACCTCCCCAACGCCCAGCTCACGGTGTGCCCGGGGATCCTCGGCGTGCTGATGCCCCACGGCGTCCTCTCCCTGGGCGGTAGTGGCGTCAGGGACCCCGGGGCTCTCGGCCTTTCGGCAGTGGGGCACTTCAGCACGATCGGTGGAGGCCAGCCCCGGCTCTCCCGCTCCACGCTCACCTGCTGAATCTGGCGGTGTGTCCTTGCTGAGGTTCTCCTGTGCGCACGCAGGTTGGGGCGCTGCCTCCCTGACGCACTCCAGGCTGGCCGTGAGCGACCCCGGCAGGGCGAGGCCGCCCGGGCCCCCAGCGCGCACCTCGCGTTCCCCCTCCTTGCAGCGTTTGTCCTTCCTGTGCCAGCGCACACTGCTGAAGAGCCCTCGTAGGCCCCTCTTTTGTTTGCCGCCAGCCTTGCCTACATCTGCCGGGTCCCCTTTGCTATTTTCGGACCTCCCATTCTTTTTCAAAAGGGAGAAGAAGCTGTGTGATTTAGCTACCGAGCTGCTGGCTGGCAAACCCACGCCGGACCCGGCAGCTCTAGGCGGACCAGGGTTCTCCTGACCCCCGCTGCGGTCGCCGCCCGCACCGGCACCATCGCCCCTGCTGCGTGGCTCCTCCTTTCTGCCGTTCTCCAGCACCACCACCTCAGCTAGTCCATCGTGGGTCCTGCTCCTCACCATGCCCGGAGGACCCAAGCCTTTCCCATCCCCTTTGTTTCTGACCCCAAATATGCTGGGTATGTTGCTACCCGATTTTCTTTTCTTGAATAATTTGAAAGCAGCTTTGTTAATCTTCCCTGACGGCTGATCGGCGGCCGGAGTTCCGGCAGCACAATCGCAAGGCAAGTCCATGTCTGCAGCAAGGGTCCGAGCACCCGCCTCCTTCAGCCTCCTGCAGACCCCCCGCGACACCGCTGCTGTCGCTGCACGCACTGACAGTCCAGCGCTGCAGCTGCCTGCGCGCCGCTCGTCTCCATGGAAACCAAGCGGGCTAATCTGCTTTCGTCAGCTATGGGCTCGCTCCAGGCCTCTGTCATCCGCATTGTAGATCAACCTGAACCAGTCTGCTGGTGCTGCTGTAACACACAGAAGAAAAAAAAAAATCTCCCCGCCTGCCAACGGCTTATATAACACCCTAACCCACTTCGGATCCACCCGATTTGGCTTTGCGCTGTGTGGTGTTTTGTTGTGGCAAGAGCAGGCAACAGATCCTCGAGCTCATTGCAGAATTTAGAGTCGTAATTACGGAATTCACATTCCATCCAATCTTACCCACCTTCAGTTCCTGCCTCTAGATTTGCTTTTTGACAAAATGCCCCCCAAATAGACAAAAATAAAAAAATCCAACCAACACAAAATGCTTACTCTTCTTATCACCCATCTTGGATTTCGTGAATCTTCATGCCTTTTCCAAGCCCTTCATTTGTGTCTTTAACATTTGGTTACCGACCCCAGCAGACATGGAGCATATCTCTTTACATCTGTGTCTTATCCTGTGCTGAGCACAATTTCCAGTTGATTATAGTGGTCATTATAGTGGTCTGTTACGATCCTTGCTACAAAAACACAGCCATCACATACCCATTAGCAACTCTCAGCAAGAAAAGTGCAACAGTTCCGTGGAAGGAAGTTGACTGGTCCTATGGGACAACCACGGCTTTTATCCTAGACTAGTTCCTGAGGTTGAGGTCATAGAAGTCACTGCATTTGGTCACAATGGAATGAGCTGAAGATAGACTCTCAGGTCCACTCTAGAGGTGCTCCTGGGAATACAGAGTCTATCTTCCACTCTTCCATTCTTGCCACTGCCACCCCCGCTTCAATAGCCCCCAGGTCTGTTCCACTGCCTTTTTACCCTGTGGAGCAGGGGGAAACCTGGCAGGGTCCCTAGTGTCCAGGAGTCTCTGCAGCTACTCAATCTAGGAGAAGAAAAAGCTTATCCTAGGGAACGGCCCAATCTAGGTATATCTTCTGTGCTTTGGCTTAGAAGGTAACTGCTAATTTTTAACCTTGACATCTGATTCATAATCCTGGCTGATGGTTTATTAGCAAAAATAGAAATATGGAGAAGCATGTACATATATATAATCTATCTGCTGAATATTATTTTTAAATGTGTAATAATGTATCTTGCTATTTATTAGATGCTATTTAATACTATGTAATATTACATATATACAGATATCAATCTTTTCCTGAATCATCTTGAGCTTCACCTTTTGTGTGCGACTTGAATTGTACCAAGAAACCCTAATCACTGTCCTTGCGGCCCTTGCGTGGCACAAGGTTGGTCTGGATTTCAGCCTGGGGTTATCACCTAGGCTGAAAGCAAAGTTTGCAAAGAAAGCAAACTCTGACTCACTTTCTTTTTCTCATTGTTTTTTTTTTTTTTTTATAAAGAATACTGTTTTGTGAAATTAAGAGATTTTAGATTCAGGAGAGGTTTTTATTCCCAGCATTGTAATTTCATCAGCTCTCTCCCACTCTTAGCCTACACCTCTCCCAGACAGGGTGCAAGGCTGACAACAGAGAGAGGCTGTTCCCAATTCCAGGTGACCATTTGCCATGATACATCAGGGACCTCCTTGCCTTGGGGAGAGAACAGGTGTTAATTACTATAAAGAGAAACTCATTTGTCATCTCTCCACAACCTTTTAAGGACAGTTAAAAATCTTTCTCAGTTTTTAAATAAACACCATATATTTACTTAGCTACTTGCTTACTACATAACTGTGTCAGTCTGGAAGAGATTATGACTGGGATTGGGAAAAATGCAGGAGTCTATAAATATCTCCCCTTCTCCAGCCCAGAGCAAAGAATAGGGGTGAATCTGCTTATCTGCTGGGAGTTCTGATCTAGCAGGACAGGTCATTCACATGAGAATCCTTAAGCTCCCTGGGAGAAATGTGGCAAGGACTTTGGGATGGATATCATTCTTCTGGGACATAGACACTTAAACAAAGAGATCCAGACAAAGCAGTCCTCAATCTGGGGAAGGTGTCCCTGTGTCAGTAGCAAGACACTGGCCCTGAGGTGGAAGAATGTTAGGATCCCCGGAACCATCAAGACTTGAAGGCACCGGGCAGGGTGTTTTAGAGGCTATGATGTCTATGAGGACCCTCCCATGTCCTCCAACCCAAGGTCCTCTTTATAGAGACTATCAGAGTAAGGCCAGTAAGGCCAGCTTACAAAGACCTTACCAGAAGAACCAGACAATCAAACTGTTGGGTGGCAGATTGACATCAAAAGCCATTATTAGGAATGAATGCAAAGGTTTACCTGCCCTTAAGTGTCTCGTCACTGTCAAGCATGGGAAAACAGATTGTATTTACACAAAATGGTTTTTTCCCTTAAAAACAGATCATGACAGTGAAGAAAAATTTTACCAGAAGCACTCCCTGTTTTGGGTCACAGTTTTATTTTTCATTCTTTTCCTCTCCCTTGCCACTGCCCAAAAGAAACATAGGAGAAATCATTTGAGAGCCTATCATCATCAATTCCTTTTTCAGGGTGTCTTCTAATCAGCTTGGCCCCTGCCTTTGTCCTAAGCTTACTGAGTGGAATTTTCTACCTGCAGAAAACCATCCTGAACATAATGTGGAAAAGGCTGGGTGAGGAATTGCCCTTGGATCTGTGGGAAGGCTGCTGCTGTGGGACTCCCTATATCCCAGCTTCACCATGAAGGATGCTGCTGGCCTTTCCTTAAATTTGCCTGAGGTCTTTAAAGGGCTAATGCTTAATCAATGAAGTTTGGAAAAGATACTTGAATTTGGATCAACACCTCCTATTTCCACACCTGTTAGCCTGCTCTGGACCCCAGCCCAAATGGAAATGCAAGCTTTAGAAGGTTCTGTGAGGCCAGTGAGGACACTCAAATGTCCTCCAACCTAGAGTCCCTGTTATGACTATCAGAAAGAGCCCCAGCTTTGTTAACCTTGACCCTCACCCACTGATCCACTCTGTTCACATACCCAAGGCCTAGCCATGCCCTCCAAGGAATGCCATGTACTTTATACAAGCTGAGACCACAAGGTGAAGTGCTCAGGTTCCAGGACAGAAACGTGTAGATGTCCTTTGCAGGGAGCCTGGTCCAGAGGTCAGTACTAAAATGCTTTCATGTACCCTCCTTGCTGGAGAAGACTCTGGTCTAGGGTGGGCAGGGTGTGAACAAGCAAGGTCTAAGCACAGTAAGTGCTGAGCTAAACTGAAGTTTTTGTTTTCTTTTGCAGATTTTGATTCCTGTTTTTTCCTGAATATCACCTTCACTATAGGTTAATAGTTGTTTTGGGGTTGTGTTTACTCAGAGGAGAAATTAATTTCTAATTAGCAACATGCATGTGTGAAAATCCTAGCATGACTGGTACTTTTACATGTTAACCCCAGTGTACATCTGAGGCTGCTGAGGGGAGAGTGCTCATGTCGAGGAGAGAAGGTCCCGCATTGGCTCTGGAGTGATGGGAAGCTCAGGGCATGAGGTATTCTGGTTCAGCTGGTATTACCACTCAAGATGTCACTTTGGAGAGCTGGGAAGATGGCGATGGAGTAAGATGGAGCTGATGCTAGCTCCTGTACTCATAGGTGAAAATCCTGGCAGATCTATAGAGAAACAGCACAATAAACCATCGATTACCCAGCATTTATGAAATTAAAAGACCAGAGACTTTGACCAATGCTGAAACACCAGACGGCGGCAGAGTCAGCTATTGGAGCTGGGTCTCATGTGGCCCCTGTGCTGCCGCCAGAGCAACAGGCCTGGGAGCCGGGGAGTCAGGCATGGGAGCCAGACACTCCAAGCCCCTGTGACTGTCCTGGGAGACAGAGGAGTCAGGAACTGGAGCTGGGACATTCTCAGCCCCTGTGCCTATGCCATAGCTACCGGCCTGGGCAACGGAAGGGTCAGTTGCAGGAGCTGGGACACTGGAGGCCCCTGTGGCACCTCCATAGAGACGGGCCTAGGCCCCGAGGAGCCAGCTATGGGAGCCGGGATGTTCTCAGCCCCTGTGCTGCTGCCATAGCAACAGGACTGGACGCTGGGGAGTCAGGTATGGGAGTTGGGACATTCTAAGCCTCTGTGCTACTGCCATAGAGACAGGACTAGACGCCTGGGAGTCAGGTACGGAAGCCGGGACACTCCAAACCCCTGTGATGGCCCTGGGCGGCAGAGGAGCCAGCTACTGGAGCTGGGACATTCCCAGACCCTGTGCTGCTGCTGTAGTAACGGGCCTAGGTGCTTGAGGCGGCTACTAGAGCCGGGACATTCAGCAGTGGTAGGCGACCAATGCAGGGAACAGCGCGAGGACCAGCATGAGAGTAGGTGGAGACAAAGAACATCAAGAAACTTCAAGGAGTCTGCACCACTAAACTCCACAAAGATCATACCACAGCAGTTCACACCAAAAACCCAGGGATTCAAAACAGATCAATTTAAGAAGCAGAGACTAACAAGAAGAGTCTCAAACAATGGGAAGACAAAGAAACAATCCCCAAATGAAAGAAAAAGCAGAAACTTCAGAAAGAATGTTAGATGAAATAGAGGCTGATCAACTATCAGATAGTGAATTCAAAGCACTGGTTATTATGAAGTTCAAAGAGCTCACAGTGAACTACCAGAAACTATAGGGGAACTACAATGATCTCTCTGCAAAGTACATCAACATGAAAAAGGAAATGGAAACTATCAGCATGGGACAAAGGAAATGAAGAATACAATTTCCGAATTGAAGAATACAGTAGAAAGTTTCAAAAGTAGGATAGATGAAGCGGAGGATAGGATTAGTGGGTTGGAGGACAAGGTAGAAAGCATCTCACAGAAAGAGCAAGAAAATAAAAAGAGGCTCAGAAAGAATGAGGAGGGATTAATAGAAATGCAAGACAATATGAAACATAATAATATCCGAATAATAGGAATACCAGAAGGAGAAGAAGAAGAACAAGGGATAGAAAACGTATTTGAAACAATAATGAGAGAAAACTTCCCTAATTTGATAAGAGAAAAATTCTCACAAATCCAGGAATCACAGAGAGTCCCAATCAAGAG